GGGCACGGAGCCTGAAGCTGCCGCCCGCCTGGTGAGGGGGGCTCCTCCAGGCACGGGCTGCAGACACTGGACTCAGGGGAGGCAAGCAGCAAGGGGAGGAGGGGCGTGCACAGGAGGACGGGACACAGGAGGAGGGAACAGAACCGAGCAGCCTTTCTGGCAGCAGAGGACAGACGGCTGCTCCGGGAAAGGAGTACACGGCACCACGGGGCTGAGTGGCCTCACACCACCCTCCTCGCCACCTCAGGGCCATGGGGCCTCTCAGATATGGCTCTGCCTCGGAGGCTCTGCTTCCCCACCTGCAGGTGCGGGGCAGGGGCGGAGGGGCAAGGCCTCCAGCAAACCTCCAGCGCCCTGACGAGAAGCCCCGCCCACTCCCTCGCCGCTGTCATCTCGGGGCGCCCCACTGTGCCTGCTGCTGCAGGAAGCCCCGTGGGGTCTCATCTCCTGCGGAGGGGAGAGGCGCCCCTGATCTGACACGGCCTCACGCCATCGCCCAGCAGCAGCTCGGCGGTCAGGAGGCTCCCGCTCGCAGGTCCTGCAGCACTGCGTGCCTGGTCACCAGAAGGGACAGGGCGGCCGATGTCCGTTCCAGCTGCGCCCGGTCAGACACGGGCCCTGAGCCCCCAGAGTCCCGCGTCTCCAGCGCCTGCCGCCCCTGTCACGCACACTGGGCGCTGGGCACTGAGCGCTGGGCGGCTGGGGGAGGCCCCGAGGCCACAGCATCTTTGCTGGAAACAAAAGTATCCGCCAGGAGGAGGCCGAGGCCTCCGACCTTGGCCCTGGGCGTTCTCGGACGCTGCCCTCCGGCCGCCCCGGCCTCCCGCGTCCAGCTGCTGGGCCTCAGCTCCGGGGGCTCGGCCGCAGCCCTCATCCCGGCTCCTGACTCGGCCCCATCGTCCCCGTCCCTGCCCCTCTGCTCATTTCGCGTGTCCTCCTTCCCTTCTAACCCCAACAGCAAAGGGCTGGGGGCGTCCACCGCACAAACCCTCCTGCAGCAGCTTCGTGCACCCTCGGGGGTCGGGCCGCTGGGCCCCTCTGGCCTCGCTTGCTGAAGGAGCGCCTGGCCCCTGATGCCCGCTCCCGCCAAGCACCCCCGATTCTCCCCGCGCCGCTGGATGGGCCTGGCCGCCCGCGCCAGCGTCTGCGCTTGGCCCGGAAGCCCAGCTGAGGGCCGCTCGCGCCGCGGCCCCGGCTCCGCAGCGGCGGCCGCACTGGGGCTTGAGGCTGCATCCACTTGCTCGTGCTGCGTCCTGTACAATTCCTCTTGACCGCCGCTGCTTCCCCGTCTGCTGGTCCCGTGAACATTTTGCGGCCATGACGTGACCCCAGCTCAGAGTCCTCTTTGTCGACTGGCCTGCAATCCGGGGTCACAGGGCCCAAGCAGCTGCCCCAGGCCGGCCGGGAGCCGGCTGCCCGCCTCTGCACCGGGACCGAGCCGGCAGGCCCCACGGCCGTCCACCTCCCGGGAGGCCTGCTGGTTCTTCGAGGGTGCCGTGTGCTGCTCGTTCAGGGTGGACTGCAGCCCCTGCTTCCTGGAGAGCGTTCTCAGCTGCTAGTCTCATAAGCTCGCACACACTGGGACCTTCCATCGCAGACCACAAGTGACCTGGAGGCCAAGAGGATAGTGGCAGGCGGTCAGGATTCCCCTCTGACCTGCAGGTGGTCCTGTCGACCCTCCCAGCTTGTGACGCCTCCGAGTCCCTCCCCGCCCTCACCCCCAGGCCTGCAGGCAGGGGAGGGTCCCCGGGACGGGGCCCAGGTGGAGGGCATGGACTGCGTGCAGCCCGGCCCGAGGTCCTGCTTCAGAGACGGGGCTTGACCTGGCCACGGACTGCAGCTGTGTCCACGGCCCGGGCGTCCACCACATACCCACCAATTCCCAGACTCTTTTCCTCTTGCCCTCAGGCCCTGAGCCACCTTGGTCCTGCCTTGCGCTGCCTCTCCGGAAACCTCTGGACTCAGCCCCTCCTGCCTCAGGGGGGCCCGCTGGGCTCCCCTCACACACTGGGGCTTCCAGAGGCGGCACCTCCTCCTGTCTCTGGGGCTGTCTGCACCGTCAGCACGGTCTGAAGGTGGCACAAAATCGGTGCCCTGCAGGCTCGCCTTAGAGCAGAGGCTGTGATGAGCAGTGGCCTCCCCTCTGGGCGCCTGGCAGTGAAGACGCAGAGCCTCAGGCAGGCAGGGGCAGGCGGGTGCAGGGCTACTGCCCACCTCGAAGGGCAAAGGGGTTCTGGAGCCTTTGTGACGGGAAGGCAGGACCCACGCCTGCAAGACCCTTGCTGCTTCTTCCTCCCCGAGGACCAGGGCTGTTCCCACACTTTGATATGTGGCACTTGGTCCCAGCCGGGCCTGCTTTTCCGTCCTCAGACTCACTGACGTTCCTCCACCATCTGCTCACTTGCTGGAGAATAAGGGCGTGGGCCCCTCAGCTCCACTGGCCCCAGAGGCATTCAGCCCGAAGGGCAGGCAGCGCTCTGTGATCGTGGGGTTAAACCCAGAACGATACTCGCACGTGGTGAGATCAGCGGAGGGGATGAGCTCGTCTTCTGGCTCACAGTAGACCATCAAAGCATTTCCACGGCAGAAGGAGCGGGCTTCCGGACCACATTCCTGTATTTAATACGTATCTTGTACAAAACCAACACTTGGTTAATTTCTACAAGGTGGTCGTTTGGAATAAGCTTTCACCATAAGGGCTGAAAAGCAAAATTCATTCAACAGATATTCATCGAATCCACGATGCTTCACCATAGATTCACAAGAGTACAAACAAACACATCTTTCAGGGAAACAATAGGAAAACCCAAACAGCCAGATTATGTTTTTCCTGCAATGCTTTTGTCAAGAAATAGAAAAGTAACATGGATATTTCTGCACGATCTGGGAAAGCGAGGTCAAGGAGCTCTCCGAGGGCCCTGCAGAATCAGCCCAGGCACTGGAGCCCGGTGTCCGGTGGGGTCTTCCCCAGCTGTCCGGTCAGGACCTGGTCACCCCTTGGGAAACCAAGGCCCGAGGCCCAGTGTCTGTTTTCCGTGGGCTCCGAGCCGAGGGCGGAGGGGTTGGGAGGACAGCGCCGGCCTCCACGGGGCAGCCTCCCTCTCTTCCAGCGGCTCACCTGAGCAGTGCAGCCCACGGAGCAGTGATGACTGTGACGCCTGGTGAAGCACTTCATTCTGCGCATTTAAATGATGTTTGGACGGTGCACGGAGCAATAATCTGTGTCTGGTGAGGGACTCGGCCCTTCCTGTCTGGTCACCGGCTATCGGTGAGCGCTGGACGTGCCCAGCCCTGCCTCTGGGAGAGCCAGAGAGGCTGCATTTCTGACAAACTTGCAGGGGCCCCCAGGTGAGCCTGACACATGACGCCTCCCCACTTTACGCCCCGGAGACAGAGGCTCCCAGGTGCCAGGACTTGGGGGCTTTGTGGCTGTGGTTTCTCCCAGCTCTCAGCCCCACACCCTCCAGTCCACCCGGTGCTGGTTCCCCAGCCCCGTCCCTCCCCGCACACCATGGATTAATTACAGAGTATCATGGATGCCACTAGCTGAGCCTCAAACAGAGAAGAACCAGGCCCATTTATTTGTAAATTGCACCTGCAGAAAGACCTGTCCAGTTCTTCCTCCGGACTAGGTCTGTGCAAGAACAAAACAGCCGACTCCCATGAAGCTCTGTGATGTGACAGCAGGGAGGTCAAGAAAATGTGATTTACAAGAACCTTCATGCTGAAATAATGAGTCCGAACAGTAAGATTAATTTGAATAGAAATATAATTGGGCTAAAAAATGAAGCAGTTTTATTGTCACATTTTGTGAGAACTTATTTTTTTCTTCCAGTTTTATTGAGATATATATTGGCCTGCAGCTCAAGATAAATCTCAGGTGCACAGCACAATGGTTAGACTTACCCACATCATGAAATGACGACCACAGTAAGTTTAGTGAACATCTATCACCTCATGGAGGTACAACATTAAAGAAATAGAAGAACCTTCTTTCCTTGTGATGAGAACGCTTAAGATTTACTGTCTATCAGCTTTCATAGGTAACGTAGAGCTGTGTTAATTATACTAATCACATACGTGGCATGTCTCATACTTACCTTATAGCTGGAAGTTTGCACCTTTCAACCACCTTCATCTAGTTCCCCCGCCCTCTGTACCCTCCTTTGGTAACCAAAAATCTGGCCTCTTTTTCTATGAGTTATTTTGTCAATTTGTTTGTTTCTGAGGTATAATCAACCTACAACACCATGCTAGTTTCTGTTACACAATGTAATGATTCAAAATTTCTATACATTTCAAAATGATTACCATAAGTTTAGTTATGATCTGTCACTACGCAAGATACTTTATAATTGTTGACTATATTCCCCACACTGTACATTTCATACCCATGACTCATTTATCTTGTGACTGAAAATTTGTACTTATCAATCTCCCTCACTTATTTCTTTCATCCCCCAAACCCCCTCCCCTCTGGCAAACACCTGTTTGTTCTCTGAATCTATGACTCTGTTTCTGTTTAGTTTTGCTTGTTCATTTGTTGGTTTTTTTTAGAGTCCACATATAAGTGAGATCATACAGTATTTGTCTTTCTCTGTCTGACTTACTTCACTTAGCACGATACCCTGTAGGTCTATCCATGTTGTCACAAATGTCAAGAGTTCATTCTTTTTTTACGGCTGAGTAATATTCCATTGTATGTATGTACCGCATCTTCTTTTATTCATTCATCTGTTGATCGGCAGGCAGGTCTCTCCCATATCTGGGCGGCTGTAAATAACACTGCACTGAACATAGGGGTGCATACATCTTTTTGAATTAGTGTTTTTGTTTCCTTCAGATAAACATCCAGAGGTGGAATTGCTGGATCATATGGTAGTTCTACTCTTAACTTTGCGAGGAATCTCCAGCCTGTTTTCCACAGTGGCTGCACCAATTTACAATCTCACTACCAGTGCACAGAGGTTCCCTTTTCTCTGTGTCCTTACTAACACTTGTTATTTTTAGACTTTTTGATGAAGGCCATTCTGACAGGTGTGAGGTGGTATCTCATTGTGGTTTTGATTTGCATTTTCCCCACAATTAGTGATGCTGATCATCTTTTTATGTTCCTGTTGGCCATTGTATGTCTTCTTTGGAAAAATGTCTACTCAGGTCTTCTGCCCAATTTTTAATTGGGTTGTTTGGTTTTTCAATGTCTAAGTGAGAACATTTTTTTCTAACTCATTGTAAGCTTTAAAAAAAATCTCCTTTTGAAAGCTGTGATGCGAGCCCCCTTCTTTCCTGTGGAGCTGCCTCTGGCGTGGGAGCCTCGGGGCTAGAGACTCGACCCACCCTAGGTGCGACTGCATCCCTCGAGGTCCTGCTTCTGTCTGCAGCCCTCAGCCCCCACAGAGTGAGAGCGGGCTTCATCAGGCCCTGTGCCCCGATGGTGCTGGCAAAGCCCCAGTGACCACAGGTGGGCACAGATCGCAAGGGGGGTGTCCAGCCTTGCCCCGGCCTCGCTCGGCCTCTCCTACCCCAATGCTGTCCCTGGGTCTGGACGTTTGCAAATGCTGCCTCTGTGATGAGGAATGGCTTCCTCTGGCCGACAGGCTCCCTCTTCTCTCCAAGAGCCTGCTCGCTGCCCCCTCCAGGAAGCCCTCCTGCAGCCCTCCCAGGAGGGCTGCCTCTGCCTCCACAGCCAGTGGGCACTCAGTGGGCTCCGGTGCCATCTGGGAGCATCACAGTCAGGGCTTCAGCAGAGAGGTTTCTCCTCACAGCTCTGGACGCCGCTGCCCGGGGCCAGGGTGCCGGCTGACCCCGTCCTGGGGAGGCCCTTCCTGGCGGCCTTCTCCCTGTGTCCTCACATGGCCGAGAGAGTTCCCTGGTGTCCCCTCTTCTTACAGGGGCGCCGATCTCTCCATGAGGACCCTGCCCTCATCATGGCCTCATCTAACCTGAGGTGCCTCCCCTCCAAAGGCTCCACGTCCAAATGCTGTCACATTGGGTTAGGGCTTCCACGGGAACCCGCCAGGGCAGGGCATGCATCACACGAGGAGTGTAAGTGCTCTGACAGGCTGTGCCCTGGCCGGGGGACAGGAGGGCGCAGCACAAGCAGCGCTGCCCTCACGCTGGGCCCCCGGGACCTGACTGAGATTCGGGACCCTGCTGTATCTCTGTCTGCTGCCTGGAGGGGCAGGGTTCTCAGCCTCTTTGCTGGGCTTGCAGTGTCCTTCGTGTCTGCTCCATCCCTCCCCTCATCCTGCTCACGAGGGAATGGGATGGTGGTCTGTGCACAAGTGACCGTCCTGCTGGGCTGTGGAGCCTCATGTGTCCAGGTGGGATGCGGTTTCTATCCAGAGAGGGTGCACTGGAGGGGGCAGGAGGGGGGAGGACCCAGAACACACATCCCCGTGGGTGTGGTGGGACAGAGGGGCTCTGCACACAGGGGGCTCTGCACACGGGGGCTCTGCACAACCCTGAATTGCATTATAAAATGCTCTAAAAACACAAGCGCACAAATCCCGGGATTTCATCCTCAGAGCACTTCCCAGGGACCAGAATGTACCAGCTGAGAAATGTCTTCTCGTGCTGAGAGCAACAGAGAACTGATGACCCGCTGTGCTTGGCTGACCCGGAAATGTCTTTGCACTTCATTTTAATTTGCTATGGGTGGCAATGCTGTTCTTTTCTTTGGGAGAAAACAGTGAACCTCTCTTTGGTGGGGGGCTACGGTTGCAGCTGGTGGCAGAGAGGCAATGAGGAGAGAGACAGGGCCTGGATGGGGCCAGCGCCGCCTTCCTGCACAAAGGGAGCCTGCATGGTAAGTAGTCGGGGCCTGGATGGGGCTGGGCGCCACCTGGGCTGGGCCTCCAGGGCTCGGAGCCGGCTGGGAGCCTGTTGGAGAGGCCCAGACATGGGATACCTGCCATGCCCCAGACGACTGTTCTCTCTCTGTCTCTAGGATCAGCCCAGCCCAAGGCAAAGTGGAGAAATTTTCAAAGGAGAGCTCCAGGCTCTGATGGGCCCCGCCCCGCACCCCAGCCCCCTTCCCTCCCATCCTTGGCCCCAGGCAGAGGTATCATTTGTCATCCCTCCCCCCAATCCCAGCTTCCAAACCTGCTCTCATCACAGGCTCCTGGGAGCCCCTGTTCTCCAGCATCCAGCCCCACACCCAGCACCCAAAGCCTCTTCACAGGGTCCTGGAGGCTGGGTGCATCGCCTGGCCAAGCAGACTTATCCACGTGCACCAGAATCCAGGCTAGATTTGCCTAGACGTGGAGTCGCCGTGTCTAGTTCGTGCAGTGCATGGCCCGTACAGCCACATGCAGGAACCCAGACCCAGTCTCAAGGGTGTTTAGAACAGCTCCTGCCAAAAGGCAGAGACTGCATCTCCTCCTTGGGCCTCCATAGACCACCTGTCACTGGGCTTAGCCAGCCCATCCCACAGGCCCAGTGCGGTTCTGAGCCACCAAGGGGCACTCGCTCATTTAATCCTAGACAGGGGCCATACTCCCCCCTTTGTACAGATGGGTGTGTGAGGCACCAGGAGGTCACATACGCCCTCCAAGGTGGCAGGAAATTCATCCCGAACCCCTGCGTCTGGCCTCCTCTTAGCTGTCACCCCGGCCCACTTGTTAATCCACAGAGGCCTTCCCTTGCTTGTTACCTTCACATTCGAGACAGCGTCTGCCGTGAACCCTGGCCCTGCGCAGGGCCTCATGCTGGGCCCCGTGTTTCTGGGCTCGTGTCATGGGTGCCTTTCCTTTGCTGGTTGCCCTGGAGGACGTGGGGTCCCTGGCCACCTCCGCAGAAGAGGCTGAGCAGGCCGTGGCAGCTTCCTCCCCGGGAGTGAGGTGTCCGGTTGTCTTGGAGACACAGGACTCTCTCTGCTGATGAGAGGTGTTACCTGTGTCTTGTATTCAAACTACAGGAAGCAGACGCTTCCATGTGTCTGTGACCCAGAGATAAACCTTACACAGATGGTACCCAGGACCCATCAGGCGTGTTAGCGGGACTTTCTGCCAGCTTGGGGAGGCTCCGTGCTTTGTGCTCCAGGCATTACAAGAGGGCCTGGGAAACAAGAGGGAGTGAGGGGAGGACACCCGTGCCCCTTGCCCCTGAGCTGGCTCACAGCGGGGCTGTTTGTGTCCAGGAGGGCACTGGGGCTGGTGGGTGCAGGACACGGGCCCAGGGCAGGCGTCTGGCCATGACTGGAGCGGCCCGGGTGGGACAGGAGGCCCCTCTGGACCCGGTGCTTCTAGCGAGTGACCCCTGCAGAGGGACGGCCTCCTGGAGTGGCACCTGCACTTGAGGTCTGGCCCAGCATACCCAGGGACACCCTGGATTCTCCAAAGCTCCAGGTCATCTTCTGGGAACTTGGGGTGGGTGGTAGTTGCTCCACCGCCACCTTTGTCCTGAAGGGACGGAGCTGCCCCGCCCCCTGAGACAGAGGCTCACTGGGGGAGGCTGCCGAACTGCTCAGCGGAGAGCCCTGCTCGTCCCCCCGGGCCCCAGCTTCCCCGCCTCCCCACCCTCCTGTGGTGCGGGGGTGCTGGGGACCAACAGGCGCAGGGTGGAGCCAGGATGCGCTGCAGGGCCGGGTGGCAGGGTCGTTGCTTGTGCTGCGCGTGTGGCAGCCCCATCTTCCCCCAGGAAAAGCAGCGTCTGAGGGAAGGGTTCCCAGCAAGCTTTCAGTGGAAGGCCTGTGTGGGATCATGGTAGCCACGTCCGTGAGATCCAGAGGCTGGGCGCGAGGGCTGACAGCTGGAGGAATTCGGTGAGTTTTCAATCTGCTTCTTGGGAAGGAGCAAAGCCGGGGGATAAAGAGAATCGAAGTAGAAACACGGTCACAAGAATCACAGCGTGGTGACCTGCCAGTCAAAAGGCCCTTGGTGATTAATGGATTTGCTTATCGAACTTTCATTTATGAGCTGAGTCCCAAGCAGGTGCCCTGGAATTTGTGTTTGAAGAAAAATACACAAAGGGGCTCAGCCGCATCTCTGGTCCAGAGAGTTCAGGGTCTCATGGCGCGAGAGCCGCGGCTCCAGGGCCACCTGGGGCATGTGCCCGAGTGTGAGGGACCTGACTTCCTCACCGTCTGTGCAGCCAGGTGTGTCCAAGGGATTAGGTTTGGGCCTAGAAATGTAAGCAGAGGGCTGTGTCTGGTGCCTGGAAGTGTCCTCAAAGAGAGGGAGACCTCCCCTCTCCTCCCCCCTTCCCTGCCTTCTAGAATGTGAGTAGAATGGGCGAAGGACCTTTCAGGCTGCCGCCTGGGACCTGAAGCATGCGTCATGGTAGTGCAGGGACGGGAGGGCCATGCACCTGCCCCTCGCAACTGCCCATCCCCAGCCCTGGACCCCTGGCTCCTTTTATGGGGAGAAACCTGTGCGTTGTTTAGTCCTTAGAACGCCAACTTTTCTGTCAAACACAATGGAAGTAGTCAACATATCCCCTTATGACAGTGGAATAAAGGATGGTATCTCAGACGTGTGGGTTGGGTCCCCCTCTGGACCCTGAGCAGTGAGCCCCATAGATCCTGAAAGGGAACCCAGAGGTCATCTAGTCCTCCGGCCCCAAGGAAGACCTCCTTCCCGACGGGGCTCCCGTGGGGAGGTTGTGGTGACAGTTTGGAAGGCCTGCTAACTGTTCTCTGCTGCCACTTTCTCCTCCTCCTTGGTCTTGGCAAATACTCGCTGATCTAAAAACGACACCGTTCGTTCTCTGCGCATCTCTCCCAGTCCGGTGACCCTCTCCTTTCCTCCCCACCTTTGTCCAAAGCCCTTTCATTTTCCCTACGGTGGCACCAGCCTGACCCTGAGCCCCAAGTGGTCTTGAGACTTCCCCGTCCTTGGCGTCTCCTCCGACGTCCACAGGGGTGTGCGCTGCATCTCAGCATGTAGCTATTTTGGACAAGACCTCAGAACACGTCTGGCTGAATCAGTTTGTGTTAACAGTAGCAGCAGGTGAAGGATGTTTGCAGTAGACGATCCCGCAACACCAAGGCATCAATGTATAATACTAGGATGTCAGGCAGGAGGGCTGGCTGCGGAGAGGAAGACATTTGGTGTTGGCGTTCCTGGCACCATGAAATGCAATTGCCTGGTCCTGTTTTCTGTCCACAGTTAGAGCTAAATCTAAGACATTAAATCGGGTCACTCCGATTGCCGGGGTGGCCCTCTGCCTGGTAGAGGTGGGCATCCACAGAGGCGTCCTCCCAGGCAGGTGGAAGGCAGACAGGGCGAGCCCAGGAGCTGGTCCCAGGAGCTGGTCTCAGGAGGCCAGGGCTTCCAGCACTGCCAGCCTCAGGCTTCCTCTGACACATCCCCACCAGGTCACGCCGTCTACAAGGTGCTCACGCAGCTGGCTGCATCCCTGAGCCAAGCTTTGTGAGCCGACCTCTGCCACCCTCCTCCTTCCCAGGCCCTCTCTCCAAGGTGGCAGAGGGAAGGAGAGCCATGAGGGCTCTGGAGCTAAGCAGAGGAGCTCCCCGCTCAATATTCATGATCCTGGGCAAATTAATTATTTAAATTTCACAGACTTGAGTCTCCTCAACTGTAGATCGCAGATAATCATCCCTGCTTGACAGGTCCCTCTAAAAATGGAAGGAGGTGACGGTCGCAGGTGCCAAGCACAGCTCCTGTCTGCCCGGGGTGAGTGTAGCAGCCATGTCTCCTCCCACTCGCGGGGGACTCTGGGACCCCTCCAATTCCCTTTTCCTTCTCTGCTCTGAACCTTCCTCAGTCCTCCAACCAGTGCTGGGCATTCCTCACCAAGGGATTCATGAGACATTCACCAGGAGTTCCAGTAGGTAAATGGGGTGACACTTGAGGATACTATAAAAGATCTTAGAAATGTAGCCAGAGCTCATGAGAGAGAAAGAGGGAGAGACAGAGGGGAGCTAATGTGACTGGGCTTGACGCTCGGGGACCCGCCCCGCTACAGTGCTCCCAGGGGCATCCTCACCGCACAACTGCGGATGCTCTAGCCGCTCTCCTCCACGGTGGACGGCTTCCTAGTGATGACCCACAGACGCCATCCATCTGCAACTCAGGGACCTTGCTGGAGCCTCAATCGCATCCTCTGCAGGCGCAGGAGGGAGGGCTTGCTCAGGACAGGGCTGTGCCTGTGACCTGCGGTGGCCGGTGGGTCTGAGGAATCAGAGACTCCACACATATTCACCACCCACATGAGGTGCACAGCTCCTGCACCCCGACAGACCTGGCACCAGGCCTCCCTGATGAGATGGAACCTGACAGTGTTTCCAGGAGGGCTGGCAGGGCACGGCCAGTCTGCCCCAAACCCAGAGGGTGCTAATTTCATGTCAGACCCACTGGCCCCAACCTTGTTCTCCACATGGCCTAGATGACTCCTACCATGAATGTTCTCTGGAAAGAAGAAGGATATAAATCATCGTGCCGTCGTACTATTACAGTACAGGGTCATCTGGGCACCAAGGGAACTCTAGGCTCTTCAAGTGCAGGTTTGCAGACACCACGACATGCTCCCTGTCAGCCTTCTTTCCTTTGTCTCTGCTCCGGGCCTAGCAGAAGGGAGATGGGGTGTGGAAGCTCTGCTCAGACAGAGTTGTGTGTAGAGCAATGTATTCATTCCAAAAGTCACCACGATGTGCAAAATCTTGCAGTAAAGTCCCCCGAGCTTATGAGATCAGACACATGACGCGCAAAGTCCTTACCAGTGACACATTAAGAAAACATAACAAGGAACCTAATAAAAATAGGGGCATAGCTTCACACCTGGTGGAGGCTAGGAAAGAGAATCCTGCAATAGATACTTTTCCCTGAAAGAGACCTGCAGTGCCCCGTGGAGAGGCTGTCAGAGGTTTGACAACTGGGGGTTACAGAGGGAGGAGGACTCCTGGAATGCGATGGGACATCTGCGACACCTGGCGGGGTGGGGACGGCCAGGCAGTGGGGTGCACATGGCTGTGTGTCCCCACCTGGCTCGGTCCAGGAGCACAGCTTGGGTTCGCCTTGCATTTCCTGTGGACGAAATCATGCATAAGCGAACATGAAATCCACATTACGGCTCAGATTGTTCCCTGATTTATCAATCGTGCGGGAACAAATCTGCATTTTTGAAACAAAGGTTATAGCAGAACAGACCGTGGATCCTACTTTGCTGAGACAGCCCCAAGTAATGCCTGGGGTCCCCTGCAATGATTACTAATTTCCCAACATACCCTCAAAGTACCTCATCCCAACACAAGGATTCTCTGGTCACCGTGTTTATGGGGCTTGAGGACCAGCTGTGCCGCCTGGAAAGCACACTCTTTGAAAGAAAGCGCCGCCTCTGGACCTGGGTTGTGAAGGCAGGACCAGGGTGTGATTCCTGCCAGTGTGGATGGTGAAGGAGGTTCCCAACCACATCGCCCAAGCCAGCTCTTCGGTCAATGCTCGCTCATCTGGGAGAAGTTAGCTCCGCGCCGTTCGGTCCCCAGTGCCACCCCTGCAAGTGAGCCGGGGCTGGGGGGACGCGGCTTCTGAGGCCATCAGTTACATTAGAAGTTTTAAAATTCTAGTACAGATAAAGGTCGTCCGGTGTTTTCATCAAAAATGCAGATTTCTGGGCCCATCAACAGAGAGGTTGATTCAAGGTCCGAGCAATTTAGGGGAATCTGCATCTACATAAACACAGGGGACATTGTGTGGGGCTGGGACAGTTCACACTGGGAAACACTGCCGCACACCCTCAGCCCCGAAGCCCCCGTGACGGCAGCGCGCCTGACGAGCAGTAGGCGCCGGATTCAGCTCTACAGCCTCTCGTTCCTTTTGCAGACACTGGGGAGCTTGGTCAAGGCCATGGGTTTCGGGGAAGGAGTTTCGGCTGCCCTGGAGCCTCGGGGTGACCATCACCGGCTGAATGACCTTTTTAAAAATAACTTGAAATCTTCAAGCCTCAGTTATCTCATCTGTCGAATGGTCTGCACAACTCATGCCTCTTTGGGTTATTGGGTGGTTCAAGACCCAGATTAAACTGCGTAATCCTCTCTCCCCAGAGCGCGTTTTTAGTGCCTGACTCACCCTCAGTGGGGGTGATGTCCTTGTTGTCCTAAAGGCAAATAACCCTCAGAGGATTCCAGCTCCCTGTTGGCTGACACAGCAGAGGGTGATGGGAAAGGGGCCAGGCTGGTGATGGTGGGAAGAGAGGGATGTGGGGCAGGTGACAGGATGACAGGACAGCAGGGAGCCCAGCTTGCCTCCACCGACTCTGCGGCAAGCGCCTCTCCCCCTCCCCTGGCTCAAACACTTCCCCATACCTTGGCCAACAGCAGCGCATGTTCAAAGAAAATGGGACAGAAGGAACCTGCAGGGACTCCTGCGAATACACCAGAGGAAAATGTGCTTCAGTTGGACAGAGGAAGCGAGAGCGAAGCCATGGAACACGAAGGTAGAGGCTCGAAGAGTTCGTAGGTTTAAGGTTTCTGTACAGTTAGGAGTCACCTGGGGACAAAGCAATGAGATACATTCTCTGTTCAGAGGGAAGGAGGAGAGGGGAGAGTCACGAAGGGTGCACAGCGTGACTCACTTGGCGGGGGGAAGCTGCAACCGACAGGGCGATAATTTTGAGTTTCTGGAGGCCTCCAGTCTAGAACTCAAAATATCTGGTGTTCTCTCCAAATGTGCTTTCGATCCAGGGCAAATCCCCTGAAATATGACATTCAGTGTTACAGGAGATCATCTTTGCGGATTTTAATAAAGTTTAAATAGAAATGTTGCACATTTTAATAAAGTTTAGATAGAAATGTTGCAATATTTATTTCTTATCAATTTTATTGAGACAGAATTCTACCCAAGGAACAATGGGGGACATGGCATGCATTTAAAGCATTATCTAAAATAAAATGAACAAAGAAAATTATGGAAAACACACCTCCCACTGACTTTACAATTCTTTCCAACAGGATCACCAAATTCTGTGATAGAGGGGAATACGGTAGATGTTTGGAAGATTTCACTAATGTTCGATATACTGCATTTTTAGAAATAATCCACACTCACTAACTATGAATGTCCATTAAAAATGCGCTTCCCATAAAATAAACCGCGATGAGATACCACTACATACCTATTAGAATGTGTAAAATTAAAAGAAAAACTGACCTGGCCGAGTGTCGGTGAGGGGCTGGAGGGCCTGGGGCTCTCGGCACTGCTGGGGGATGGGAAAAGTTGCCGCCACTTTAGGAAAGAGCTTGTCAGTTTCTTAAAAAGTCAAGCACACATCCACCACATATATGACCCAGACCTTCTATTCCTTGGTATTTTCCCAAGAGATAAGGGAATATGTATCACGCCACATATATTTGCATCTGAATGTTCATAGCAACTTTACCTGTGATGGCCCAACCCTGGAAACAATCCAAACATCGATCAATCAGTAGATGGACAGAAATGTGTACACGCCTGGAGCAGAGGACTACTCATCTACGAAAAGGTGCGAACCACTGACACACACACCACATGGTTTTATCTCCAAGTAATTATGCTGAATGGAAGAAGCCAGACAGAAGATTCCATTTATAGGAAACTCAAAAGATGCAAGTTTCCCTAAACTAACAGAAGACCGATGAATGGGTGACGGGGATGGAGGGAGTGGCGAGGGGCCGAGGGGGGCACAGCAGTGGGGGAGGAGGCTGTGGGGTACCCTGATTGTGGTCATGGCTTCACAAGTATACGCACGTGCTGGACTTGACTCGATCGTGTGGCTCATTCTATGCCAATTGTTCCATAATAAGGTCGTTTAAACTTTTCTAAAAAGGGAGAGACCTGTTGTCAGGAAGTGGCAGCACTGTGGTGTGCCTCAAGTGCCGTTAGGGGTTTGCTTTTGAGTTGCAGTGGTCACATTTCAAGGAGGGAAAGAGAGAATAGGGCCAAATCAGAAAGGCTGTCAGAGCCCACCAGTGCTCGGGATGGAAAGAAAGCTGCTGAGTTGTGACGACTGCTGAGTCCCACCTGCTGCCCACTCGTCCTGCCAGTGACATAAGCCAATGTATTTCTCCCTGCTTGAGCCAGTGGAACTTGGATTTCTGTCCATTGCCGGATATCAACTGTCCTTTTATCATTTTAAAAAAGCTGGCTGTTGTTTTCTTACTGATAAAATTACTAAAAAATTATCCCCTAATTAAAAAAAAATAAACCGAGGGCTAGAAAAGTTAGTTTGCTCTGGGTGTCACTGACAATTATTGTAACTTTTACTGAGTGTCTACCTTACTATATGACAAACTAAGTTAGCGTAAAGAGAAAGAAGTCAAAATAAAGAGTCAGTCTGAAGACCCAGCTAGCTGGTAGTGCCAGGAACCAGTGTACACAGATTTCAACAAATTTATCTGGCTTTGAAACTGAATTGACTGTCATATTAGTCCGAGCTGTAAAAACCGCTTATGTGTGAAAGCAACCTTGGGGCATCTGACCTCCTCTTCTAACCAGGTCAAACCTGGGACCGGTCAGTTGCTGTGCCAGCCAAAAAGAGCATATGAAAAATGAATTAGGCGGTTAGTCAGCTCCTAAGACTCCGAGGTCCCTCCCAGGCTGGACTGACAGCCCGAGGAGATGGCCAAGCATTCCTGAGACGGGAGTGGGCGGCCAGCTCCCACCAGCAGGCCCGCAGCTCCATCCTCCACCAGCTGTGGCGGCCATGTGGCCGTCTGCGTCCTTGCCAGGCTGGAGGAGGCTGCAAAGTGGGCCCTGGCTAAATGTGGTTGGAAGGACACATCCTTACAGAGTGACCTTGATGCTCCTTCCACAGCGAGCTGCTGCTGTACGACACCAGCAGGCGAGTGCAGGTGTGCACATGCACACAGACAGGCATTAACCTGTCCACACATGCACACGTCCTGTATTCCAGGCTCACAGGGGCTCTGAGGTACAGCACCTGTGCCCCCGAGGGAGAGGAGAGCTCTGTGGCCAGGTGTCAGGGAAGGAGGCCTTACTCTGCAGCAGGGACTGAGGTGCCTTTCCATGACTTCCACCCACCTTGTGCTCTGGCTGGACACCGGGGCACAATGCTGATCAGGGCGGCCCACTCCTTGATCCTGGCCTGGGCGGGCTGGGCCAGGAGCCAGCCTGACCTCATCCGAAAGAAGCCAGGCAATGGGTAGGCATTTCTCCTTTTGGAGAAGATTTCAAGAAGCTCTGCAGCTGGTATCATTAGCAGCCCAGGGCAGAGGCGAGCACAGAGTGCACCATTTCTGCCACGGCCCATCTTCAGTGACAGCGTGGTGAGGGAAATGAACTTTCCAAGATGCTCAGTGGAAAAGAATTCAAAGATCCCTTTGAAAGAATAACTGTGTGAAGTTTGGGTTGGTGGATGGGGCAAAATGAACCTGGGCCTTATTCTCTTATCCTGAATGAGTTTCAAACAAACTGTCAACTGGGAAGGTCTCTCTCTCCACGGTCCCATGAGGGACCCATGAGGGACCCTCTCTCTATCTCTGCTGGCCACCCAGGCACTCATGGTCATTTACATCTTCTCCATCCTTGGCTATGTCGTAGGCCAGACATTGCTAAACTTTGATATTAAAGGAACTAATAAAATCACATAAAAATACACTGGGAGGAAGGCTGACATTGAGTTGGTAGCTTTAAAAACATTATCACATCTGATCATTATTATTTCATAAAAAGAAGGTCCTAGACACAGCAGAACACAGGATGGAATCACATCAAAATGAAGACACTCGTTCAAGTGAAATGTGTTTTGCTTCATGAAGTCTTTGCTGTGCGGTCCATGTTTTTCTCCACTGACTTCGGGCCATGGCGGCCAGTCCTACGCCCCTCGTCAGCCCAGCCCACCTCTGCTCACTGTCACGGGGAGAGGACCGTGCTTCCTAATCAGGACTAATAGCTGAGAGTCCTCCAGGAAGATCATGTTTATCAGCAAGGGACTGGGCCTTGTCCTAAACAAGGAAGTACTGCAGGTAGAATTTCAGACAACGCAGTGGGCCAGGAGGAGCCAACATCTGGGGAGTCCTTATGGGATACTCTGTACATGAGCCCCCCCACTCCAGGGCAGCAGGCAGCCCTGAGCGCTTAGCTGCTGGTCCCAGGCCTCAGCGCAGTGTTACTCCTTTCCCACTGGTGGAACAGAGGCCACAGATGCACCATGCTTCTCTTGTGGATGGTTCCCCTGAGAGCTAGCTCTAAACCCTTCATGCCTATCACCTCTTTATGGTTAAAAGACTTTGAATTCTGGTTAAGAAAGGGCAAATCTAAAGGAGAGTAGCTATCCAACTAGAGTAAATTGAAATACACATTCTCACCTTAGGGCTGTAGAGACAACACTTTAACACCAGGGGCCCTGGCACCCCTCCTGAGCTCACTTCTTCCCAACCATGGTGCACACACAGAGCTGGCTGCCCACTCTCACTGGTCCTCTGGACACAGATGAGAGAATGACTCTCCTGGGAATTCAAAACAGGACAGACCCACTCAGAGATGGAAGGAGTTGTGAAACCTTCTTGTGAGAGGGTCCTGCATTGCAGACTCCTGGGACTGGAAATACCGCCCTTCAGTTCTGTGAGTTAGCCCAGAATTCTCCCCAAAGTCTTCATTTATTCATTCACTGTTCTTTCATTCATTCATCCTTTTTTTTCTCAGTTAAGCCAAAGTCAGTTTCTGTGACTTGCAACTTCAGACTCTTTACTGACATATTAGCTATGAACTTGGAAGAGTGTTTACCTGACCCTGACCAAGTACCAAACTCTCTAATAACCCTCCATCTCCTACACAGTATCAGATCAATATCTTCTCACAGAGTTGTGGGGAGGATTACATGATTTAATATGGAAAATCACTTAGAAATGGTAATGCTCAATGTAATATAATTCCTTGTATTCATCATGGAGAAGCAGCCACTTTTCTACGTTTTTTCTTTTTTTAAACTCATTTATGGTATTGTTCCTGAAGTTTCAAATAAGCACCAAATGAAAGCAGGCAAGTCCTGGATCATAGATGTTGGGGAGCCCAAAGTTCTGTTATCTCCACCTCACTGGTGAGAATAATGACAGTAATCGCTAACAATAATGCCACCACTTGTTTGGAATCTGCATTATGTGAAATGCATCTATTATCTCTGATTTCACTACAGAGTTAAAGAAACTGAGGTCCCATAAGTTAAGTGAGGTGCCTGGGATCCCCGAGACAGTGAAAAACTCTCAACCCCCTCCATGCACTTTCCTTTTACATTGACTCCCAGTCAAAAAAAGAGAAAGAAAGTAAAATGACAAAGCAAGAAAATGACAGCGAACAGGAAAGGTGCAGAGGATTGAAATAAATAACTCTTGCATCTTCATCTGGTTTCACAGCAGGGGCATCAAGTTCAGCATAGAACTATGCAAGTCAGAGGCTCAGCCACTCTTTGAAGATAAATTCGGAGAGGTTGTGAACATCAGTGAACAAAAATTCAGAAGAATTTCTATTTCAGTAAAAGGAATCAGGAGACAATGACCCCAGCCAAGTAGCCAAGAGACGTGCAAACGTGATGCATGGTAAAGTGTGATGCACTCTGAGAAGCTGGGTGTTCCATCTCGAGACCCTCTCATTAAGCAATGAGTGTCTCAGGTGATGTGGCAAGAAGTACTCTTTCCCTCACTAGTCTTGCTGATGTGCTGTACTACACACCTGAGCCACCATGAGGCAGCGGACCACGTACCACAGTCCATCGCTTTGGGTCTTTCTTGAGACACAATGTGTTTAGAATCTGAGCTGGGAAGAGGGCTCGTTTGACCAGAGGGAATCTTTGATCGAGCTCTTCCACTGATATTGCTGAGAGGACTGGATGAGACACCAAGCTGGGAGGAGAACTAGCGCTAATTAAATCCATGTCCTTGTACCTGGGTGTTGATGTTCTCATTTGTAAAACTGGAACAATATCAGTCATCTCTTTCTTGAAGAGTTTTCATAAAAATCAAACAGGGGGATACGTATGAGAACATCTTGTATACTGTAAATGATATTTTGATGGATGCAATATGGGTATAATTAAATGCAATGATTATTTATTTTTGAATTATGGGTGCTCAGCCCGTATTTAGATTGAGGGACAGGGGGATCTAGGAAGAGGGCTCACTGTGAGGAGAGACTGTGTTTAGCTGAGGACATGCTCCATGTCAGGTGGTAGGATGGTGCAGGGAGGAATACAAGGTCAGATGAAGGTCAGATGAGACTTCAGAGTCTTTCTCTCGTTCTGCAGAGGCATGAGAAAAAGGAGCACTTGAGAGGACTGCGTTTATGGAGCCCCACACGGAGCCCAGGGCTGCCCCTCAGTCAGTGCCTGTGCTTAGCAAATCGGAGACAAAAAGAGAAAACCTGCCGTTGAAGAAACCACTGCTGAAAACGCCAGAGGACAGTTAACATCATAGAATACCTTGGAGGCCAAAGAAAGGGTTTTATTTTGAGGCCCCAAAGCAAGACCCTCTGATTTAGCAAGAAGGAGGCAGTGGCTTTCCAGAGGGCAGCTGGGTGTGGTTTTGGAAGCCACAGGAGAGAGAGCTGTGAGAGATACAGGTCTTTCTGTACCCCAAGATTTGCCCATAAGACATGTTCACAAAAGGTTCATCTATTCATTAAATATTAGGTGAATGTCTTTTTTTTTTTTTCAATTGTCACTTCATTCTTTACTTCACCTGAGTGTATTGCTGGCCTAAAAAATTTACAAACAAAGTAGTGCTAACAAGCTCCCACAAGGAAATTTAGAATATGAAGCCATAGAGTCAGGTTTTTCAGTTACTTGAAACTTCATGCAATCTGATTTTTATCCTTCATTTTGTTAATGTGATGAGTCATATGGATTGATTTGCAGTGTTGAACCATCCTTGCACTCTTGGAATAAATCCCACTGATGATGGTGTATGATTCTGTTAATATATTGTTGAATTCAGTTTGCTAATATTCTGTTGAGGGTTTTTGCATCATTGTTCATGAGAGATATTGGCCAGGGTTTGGTGTCAGGGTAATGCTAGTAACATGAGTTTGGAAGTGTTTCCTCCTCTTGTAGTTTTGGTAGAGTTTGAGAAGGATTGGTATTCATTTTTCTTTAAATCTTTGATAGAATTTGCCAGTAAAGCTATTTGAAAAGGCTATTGCGATGGTTTAGAAAATAGTGGTTTGTAATCCACCTGCAGTGTTTTGTTACCAGACAGGATTTAATAGTCACTCAGCAGACACAGCCCCATAGTGAGGCTGTACCTTCTAAAAATATCTAATAGATGCTGTCCTTGAGGGACAAGCAGGTTGACATGCAAAAGTCATTAAACGGAAGAACCGTCTTTCCTTGTCAACTGAAGCTAGGAAGCAAGAGCACAATGTCCAGAACAGCGTGTGTTGCATTTGGGTTATGACACAAGAAATCACTTCAACCTCAGCACGATGGCCAGGTGGGCGTCGCCCTGTATTTCTGGATGTCCTCTGCAGACACGGTCTCCCTGCCTGATGGAAACCTGTTCCCAGGATGCACACCTTCCCAGGGGTCTCTGCACTTGAAAACCTTAACCCTAAAGGATGAATGATACATGACCGCAATCAGTGGAGCTGGTGGGAGAGGCTTTGGTGGAGGAATGGAGCTCTGTCTGGGTTCACGGAATCAGTCCAAGTGGGGGCCTTCTGCTGCACCCGGAACTTGGCCCTGACCTATATACCCAGACCAGGAAGGGGAATATCCGCTGTTACAAGGGCTGTTCGACTTGATTGCCTCAGGGTGTCAAGCTGAAATATGCCTCAGTCCTTACGCAGGAAAGAAACCCGCCCACAAGGGTGAATGTAGGACCATGAGTTGTAGGCTCTGGGCTGATGGCTCCATCACACATTGGCTACAGTGGGGTGGGAAACCGTCCATCTTCTCTGGGCCCTTTTCTCATCTGCAAAACGGGGCAAAATGTGTGTTTGGAAATCTGTTTTGCAGAGTGGCAGCGGGGCTCGGGGGGCCAGCGCCTGTGAACGTGCTGTGGGACTGCTTGGGGCGTGTTCAATGGCACGGCCATGTTGGTATCGGTCCCCATGCAAAAGCCTGTCCTTCACAAGCTCAGCGCTTCTGAAGACCCGCTCACTGTGTCTCCTCACGCCCTCACTCAGAAGACTTAGAGGGGAGGGGAAATAAGACTCAGCAGAAGTGTGATCGCCAAGGTCCTGGTGGCCTGCGGGGAGCACTGTTTGCAGAGATGGGGCATCCGTCGCCGTCGGACCCCTTCCCTGGCTGCTGTCACGTGGCCTGGGGGCTGCACAGCACAGGGCATGCAGGCGGGAAGGGATCTGGATTTCAGGGCGGTGCTGGGTTCCCTGCTGCTCCGTCATCAGGCACTTTCCTCTCCTGCGTGTGTATGGCTTCCCTTAGAGAAGAGAAGCCTTGTAAGCACATTCTGATCTTGCCCACCTGTGCAGCATCCAGCACAGGTACAGGTACATTTCTTTTGTTAAAACCTGGGAATGCTGTGCACCAGGCATGGTGCTCGGTCAGAGGTCAGAGTGTGCCAGCGTCCTGCATTTGCAGACTGTTCTCGGGCTGAGAGAGAGAGCTCTGAGATCTGCTCCCTCCCACGCTTTTTAATTTAAGAACCCCAGGCGCTCAGCATGGGGGTGACAAATGGCAGTGGCTTTACTGCTGTTGGTATTCTGGGGTCAGAATATGGTTGGAGCCAGAAGCCCAGGGATGAAGCATAGCATTAAAAACAACAAAGATTAGAAATATGTAGCCTCCCAAGGCAGTGGAGCAGAGCTAACAACCCCATATAAAGGAGCTTTGTGTGGGACGAGCCTGTGTCTGAGAGGCAGGAGCAAAGCTGCAGCCCCTATAAATCTTCCTCCTGCACCCACTGCGGAGCCGGGCCGCGAGGGATGCAAACAGCAGAGAGATGGGGGCGCTGAGCTGGGGATAGGGAGTGTCTCTGTGTGTGTGTGTGTGTGTGTGTGTGTGTGTGTGTGTGTGTGTGTGTGTGTATGAGAGAGAGAGAGAGAGGGAGAAAGAGAGACAGAGACAGAGAGAGGGGCACTCCTGCAGGCCAAGTGAGGTGGGTACAGACTGATCTGATGGGGAATGAAAGTGCTCAATTCTCTCTGATGTAGCCTGAAATGGCAGCTCCACTTCCTGATTTCAGCTCTACTTTTATCTTTAAAAATTGCTATACCTGAGTTCATATTGTATTTTAAACTGTGTGAGATTAAAAGCAAAGAAATTCATTCATAAAAACTCAATTTTATAAATCAAGATTCCTCAACATGGTGTGTTTTTTTTCTCCATGACTGCAACCTTGAGCAAATCTCTTTCTCCATCTCTCTCTCCCTCTCTCCTTCCTTCCTTCCCTCTTTCCTCTGTTCCTCCCCCCTCCTCTTCCTCTCTCTCTCTCTCTCCATCTACCCCCACCCCAGCCTGTCTCTCCCTCTCTCCTTCCTTCCTTCCCTTTTTCTTCTGTTCCTCCCCCCCTCCCTCTCCTCTTCCTCTCTCTCTCTCTCCATCTCCCCCCACCCCAGCCTGTCTCTCCCTCTTCTCCATCTCCCTATCCCCTTTCACACTCTTTTTAGCTCATGGATCATGTCCAGCAGCCTCCCTTCTCTACTACTCCTGCTGTTAATAATTTTTCATGTGACAGTTTGTTTCTTTAAGAGTCAAAATCTATCTTCCATGCCACAGACATGCATTACAGAGCTGTTATGTGTTCGTCTGCGGGTTGGGTGCCGTGTGTACGTGTGTTCAGGGTTGGGGGGTGGCTAAGAAACAGTAGTGGGTTTGCAAGCCTGTTGCTCAAGTGTCTCTCCATCTCACGGGGTGAGGGAGGAGCTGGGGCTGGGGTTAGGACAGGATGTGTGCCCAAGTGACTGTAATTTAGTTGGAATAGAATAATCATATCAAAAGTTTACATTAGAGGTACGGGAGGAAGGGAGTTTATGTAGAGCTTGGAGGATCATGTAGCTTTATCTTCCTGGGGGGGTGGGGCATGGAAATAGAACACATCTCTGGGTTCACAGGGCCTGTGATCCTCAGGGGACACCCATCTGTTCGTGTTTCTGATGAACGCTTATTAAATTCATTCATTCACTCGTTGGAGATTCAAGTGAATTGACCAAAGAACAGCACTTCAGCTTTCAAATTCTCAGTGCAACAAGGGTTAGAGTGCTACCTTCATTGTAATTGATTCAGGGAA